CGATAATAATTAGTAGAAAAAAGCGCACCAGAAAGCCTCGACTGCTGTGCGTTTTTCGAGCTGTTGCCGGTGTCTGGTGAATAAGTGCAACAACACGTGCATGCAGGAATTCTTCATTATTTTCCTCTGGTCATTTCACACAATGAAAAATCCCAAAAATTTTGTGTTAGGGTGATTTTTTTTTTCAGAACAAGAAGATAGTGGCGCTGTATTTCTCGGCACATTGGTGTCCACCTTGTCGACAGTTCACGCCTGTTCTCAAAGTAATTAATTCACCTGCGTTTCTTTAATTTTCAAATAAAAAGATACAAAAAAAAGAAAAAATTGATCGAACAGTTGTTAATCTGTCCATACTCAGCTAATTATCATTTTCTGTTTTTTTTCTGGATAAACACCGAGGGGCAGTTTCTTATTGCTGCACTGTTGTCCGTCAATAAAGATGGTATTTATTAACAGGTCAGTTTTTTTACGACAACTAAATATCTGTGTTTGTTCCAAGTGCACTTCATCTGGGCAGAGGAGAATCTAGGAAGCTGAAATTTTAGGAGGAAGGGGGGTGCAGGAGACCTCCGACTTGCACAAGACCTCTAAAAGTCAAATTTTACGTCCGCGCACATCTGGGCACGTAAAATTTTTGGCATCAAAATTAATAACTCGGGAACCAGAAAGCCTAGGAACTTCCTCATTCTAAGTCCCAGCCTCCATACCTAACAAAGGGACCCCTCCCCCCAGGCGTAGCCGAAAAAAAAAATGCGATAACACAGTATCTCGGCTCGGCTTGCTCGGAGCTGTCATGGTTTTAATTTGCTTTACACCATCACTGCTTAGTCCATTTCAGTTTTCAACCACGATAATTTGTGTTTGCACTGGCATTTGCGGGTCGTCCAGCGTTGGAAAATAATCGATTTGCTCACTTTTACAGGAATTTTATGAAGAAATCGATAATGATGAATTTGAAATTGTATTTGTTTCACTGGATCATAGTGAGAATGATCTGAAGCAATACTTGGAAGAAGCACATGGCGATTGGTATCACATTCCATTCGGTTCAGGCGAAATCGAGTAAGTTGCGAAATTTTGGGTTTAATAGCGAATTAGATCAGTAAATCAGGAATTTTTGCACTCACAACTCTTAGAGGAGTTTTTTTTAATAGAAAGTTATAATAAGAAGGTATGAAAGTAGAGAGAGGGATG